TGCTCCTTCCCTCCCAGATAACAGAGCTGAGTCCCTGCTCTCTTATGGGGCTTACTTCCCAGATGCAGCAATGGGTTTTTAAATATCGTCCTTTTCTACTAGACTGTGAACTCTACCAGACTGAAGGCAGAGACCACATCCTAGCATAGAGCCTGGCATTTGGTAACCACTTGACAATTCTTTTTTAAATGATTAAATGGACTTTAAGCACAAGGGATCTGGGAACCACACTAATGTTACATATTAATAGCATAGGAAATTTTTTGCTTAATGATCTCATCGTTGCTGACTCTACTGACAAGTACTCAGAAGCACATACAGAATCACATGAAGGCATTTTTGATGTAAGTTTTGTTCTTACTCAGTTAAAAGAGGAGATTAGGTCATCTGAAAGGCTTTCATTCAGGTCTTATCTGTGGATCTGAATACTGAATGAATAATGGAGAGAATTACATTTGGAAAATTGCCATTTCAATAATTTATTAAAAAATCTAATGATTTAATATCAAGATTAACCATGGAGCTATTGGAGGCACAGAGGGGATTACACCTGGGCAAGAGTTTCTGACTAGGTTGTGACAAACCCAGCTGTTTCCTTATTCTCCCACATTCAGAGATTTCTGCTTTGATTCTCTTAGAAAAGTGGGTGGTTATGGTTAGAAAAATAGCTCAGTAATTTAAAATTTACTACTTCAAGGACCCTCGGAAGGAGTGTTCACACCTCTTGTCACTTAGCACAGACATGTTCACTTAAAAATAAGTGTTTAGACAATGTGGGTTTTAATCTAGCAAGCTACCACATTGGAGGAAAATTTCTCTACCTCTACATTTGGGCAGAGAGCTGCTCTGGGAAGGTGGCCATGAGATGCCTAGAAACTTCTTTCGTCAAACAACATTTATCAAGATTTGAATATCACAAGCTCTTGCCACCTAAAATTAGTTCTCAAAAGGCGTACCTACAGAGGCTCCCTGGGGAGTGCACACGGTAACAAAAAAGAGCACGGAATTCTGGGTCCATGTACCTGAACTGAAATCTAGCTACATGACTAATTACTCAAACCCTCTAAGGTTCATTTGACCAGTGCCTAAAATGGACACTATTATCATCCTCACTGGGCTCCTGTAAAGATTGCCTGAAATAATGTCTATGGAGCACCTAGCAGAGGAGCTGGCAACTTGTCAGGCACTCAGAAAACACTGGTTTTCTTTCTTCCCTTCCCACTGATAATTTATTTACTGGGAAAGAAACAAAATGTAATACACGGTACTCAAGGAATTTCCAGGATAGTTGGTAAGGCAAAAGTCATACCCACAAAAGATAGATAGCTATGAATAACTGGGTAAGATAAATACCTAGCCAATGGTATGATTCATAGTGCTATGAGAGTAGAAAAGAAAATAACTACCACTGGTAGAGAGAGCAAGGGAAGGCTTCCTGGAAAAGGCAGAATTTGAGTCAGAGCTTTGAGAATGGGTGGGAATGAAATGGACAGAAGGAAGCGGGTAGGGCAGGCCAAGCCAGATAGGTACAAAAGAAGTACCCAATGGGAATGTAGAGGGCAAATTCTGGTACTATGCCCAGACTGATCTTGCTGGAAAAGTTTCTGCATATCGGAAGAGCTAAACATAAGGCTTTTGGTAATTGGTAATGGGGCTTAATAAGCTGGGCTAAGAAATTGGTCTTTATCTTGTAGATAATGGAAAGCTGGTGGCGGTTTGTGAGCAGGAAAAAGCATGGCCAAATAATATCATCTAGAAAGCCCGCAAGTATACCACGTTCACTCCAGTGTTATGAACCACGCTGCTGTGGAAAAAAATCCCTTTCATTATACTAATACTTAGTAAATCACTGAAGACCTACTTCAGAACTCCAAGGAAAACATTTTATGAATCAAAAGCTAAGTACAATATGTTAGCAATTAAATGAGATAACATAATAGCCGAGGCAGAACCACAGTTTTCCCCACCACAATTTCAAGCTGCTGCAGAAAGAAATGCTTATATCATCTTCCAAGTTATCAAGCCATTTTGTTTTGATTTTTGGAAGGCAGAAAGAGAGGAAACGAGAAGAGTGTGGAGGTCAAGAAGATTCCAAGCTGTCTATTCTTTAATCAGAAGGAATTACTAAGGACAGTTATAAAAGAGATCGGCTCAAAACAAAACCAGCCCGGGGATGGGTCTTACGTTACTACAACTCACTTCTACTTCAGAACAACAAACGAAGGTGTGTAGTTGGGAAAGAAACTCCCACCAGCGCTCTCTCTGCCGAAGTTTCCGGTGCATACCTCCCACTGCTACTTTATTTACTGCAGCTGGCCAAAGTTTTATAGCCTGTTTCATGTATTAAAATTCAAATGTGGAAAACATTACCAGTATCCTCCTTGAATTTTTTTTGTTGTTGGGGGGGGAAAGGGGGGCGGGTTTTTTTCCTTCCCCTTCAACTTCCTTTTTATTGTGGAATGTATCAAATGGTCAAAGGCTAACTTCAGACTGACTAAATTCAAAAACTATTTCCTTTGTTCTTATGTTTTTGTTTGAAAATTCATGCCAGTTTGCACAAGGAAAGAAACTGACAATCCGATCTCTTTCACACACATTAGAGTTTTAGGACGAGGGGCTCAGATGCTGTGGACCCGCTGAATATTTTCAAGAAGAAAGGAGAAAGACTGCATTTGGTTTAAAGGGGAGCAGATTGTTGCCATGTCACACCCCTGGAGTCAGTCTATTATCTGGTTGGCTCTGTGGTTGCCCTTGATTGAATTATAAATGTCTTTAGAAGAGTGAGCAGGAACTTTTCCTCATCAGCAAAACTAGCAGCTTTATAGCTTCTGAATAATTTTTCAGAATAAATCAAAGATGTTACCGTGTAATATTGGCGAATTATTTTTTTCTATTGCTCTGTCCCATTCTCTCCCTTTCCCCTCCACCTAGGTCAGTCCAACCTCCCATCTCCAAAGATGATTCCAGTCTCTTCCTCCTATCCCATCTTTGAATCAAAGAGGAGGCAATTCAAAGGTCATATAGTTCCAAAAGCATCTATGTATAGTTTATTCTTTTAAAGAACCACTTAACTTACATCTGGTATTTTAGAGCAAACTTTACATATTTATGGAAAAAACTGTCTCTGAAGCAATGCCCTGGGTGCATGTTACATCCGTTTAACATATGCAAAACGAACACAGCTAGAGAAATTAAACCATTTTTCTCTTGATTGAGAGCAGATATACAGAAATGGTTATAAGTCACAGATCTGGCTTTTAATAAAGCCAGATTTCTTAATTAAAAGCAGTATTGTTTAAACATTGTCGTTAAAAAAAAAAGAGCTGTACAAACCAAAATCTCATATTATATGCATCCCAAGTGTATTTAACACGTTACCTGAGGCCAAGCTAAATTAAAATCTAGATTTTCCTTTTGTAAACTCTTAGCGACTGCCATGAATAGACAAACAATTTTTATTCAATGATGAATTTTTAGGGTAGAGGTCAAGGAAAAGAAAAAAAGAAAAAAAATGATTTAGCTTTGGCATTGAAAAATATCTTTCTACATTTTAGAAGTGAGTTAATTGCTTCTATTAATAAGCCAGTATTTTTGGTTTCAAATTGGTTGCAGGTTTCAATAATACACTGCCCAGGATGGTACTCTTAATCTTTGTATTTTATTAAGAGAAAATGAAAGGAGGGCAGAAGAATACCATTGAGTAAGAACTTAAAGAGGCTCAGAATAACCTGTAATTATTTTGCATTCTCTTTTCGGAATCTTCTTTAAACAAGAGATGCTATACTAATAACGAAAGATAGATCTTCGTCCAAGCAACTTTTTAAGAGTCTATAAGGTATGAAACAGGACACTAATGTGTGGGATGCCCTGGCGGGAGTTTGTAAGGAGCAGAATTACACAGAATCACTGGTAAAGTTAAATTCTCCACCCATTCGCTCACCTCAGTAATTGTCACCACTTAATATTTTGTTAGGACTTTTTCTGAATCTTCCTAATCAGCCAACCAAACAATACACCCCCAATTCCTTTCCAAAAGTAATGGGCAAAACTGAAATTCTAATTGTAACATAGACAGATCTGCTTAAATATTATTCAAACAAAGACATTCATAAATAGGTAGTGGTAAAACTACAATATATATTAAATTACTCAGTCCCACTTATATATTTAGACAGCCAAACACATCATATATTTCTACATCCATACTCAGAATCAAAAGACATCAATTTGGCTTCTTTAATAAAAGAAAATTTTCAACCTATTTGTCTCTGAAATGCCTGTCAAGTAACACGAACATAAGTTGGGTCCTTTAGCCGAAGTCACCGAGATGAAGAATTTAAAACACCAGTAATGACTCAGCAGTTCACTGCTAGGTATATGCTGAAAAAGTGAAATGAAAACCTGTGTCCACACAGAAACTTGTACATGAAAGTTCACAGGAGCAATATTCCAAATAGCCAAAGAGTAGAAACAACCCAAATACCCATCACCTGATGAATGGATAAATAAAATGTATATCCATACAATGGAATATTGTTTGGCAATAAAAATGAATGACACTGATATGTAATAAAACATGTATATGCCTTGAAAACATCATGCCAAGTGAAATAAGCCAAGAAGGAAAGACCACCTCAAACTGTATGATTCCATTTATAGGAAATGTCTAGAGTAGACAAATGTATAAAGACAGAAAGTAGATTAGTAGGTGCCGGGGCTGCGTGAGGGAAGAAAAGAGAGGGACTGCTAATGGATATGGGGATTTCTTTTCTTTTTGCAGGGGGCAAAAATGTTCTCAAATTAGACTGAGTCTTAGTCGCACAACTCTATGAATATACTAAAACATACTGAATTACACACTTTAAATGGGCGAATTTTATGTTAAGTGAATTATATCTCTATAAAGCCATTTAAAGAAGAAAAAGCAGCAGCAGCAGTATTTACACTTGAAATTCTAATTCTATAAGGTAAGTATAGAGTCTACAAATTTCATCACTTACCATGAGTGAATGTCTGTTGGCTGAAAGAAGACCGGTTCCATACCCTGAGCCCAGACCACCCATTGCTCCATTATGAGAAGGTCCAATGATTCCATGCATGTCCCCATGACCACCAGGCATAGCTGTGGATGGGCCCACTGCATGATTCCGGAGAACGTGAATAGCATCATCCAGTCTTTCTAAACGATCTTCAATTCGGCTTTGCTGTTGGTCAATAAATGATGTGAAATTTGATTTAGTTTGAAATGCATGCATAGGTTATATAAGTAAAACTTAAGTTGACACAAACCACACTTTGGGTTTCTGAATATATGTTTCCAATAAAGTCTGTTTCCTTAAAACGAGAACAAAAATAGTGTCCTTCCTAGAAAACTGAAAAAAAGTTAATGTTATAATTATAGTGTTATTTTTCATTAACAAAGTAAATTCAGTAATTCTTCTAGGACATTATAGTGTATGTATGCTATACTATATTGCATTAGCTTGAAAGAGAACTTAGATTTAATTTAGAAAAGAAAAACATTTATTGAATTTAAGGAACATTCTGGTAGGCGTTAGTTAACGATTTCAAACGACTAACAATGGAAAGATGACCAATTTACAGTTTCCCAACTAAATTATCTTCTTGAAGGCATATTTCCTTGGTCTCCTCCGTGGCATATGATATAACGCTAAGTGTCATGTCAGCGACAGGTAAATGCATACAGACTGTAATTTATTCAGAACTATCAATTTTTACCCATGTTTCTTGATTTCTATCTATTATCACCATCTTGTGTGTGCGTGTGCGGGGCCCCAAGGGGAAATCAAAATGGTTACAGGAAAAAATTACAAAAATTCTGTTACCCAAAGTAGTATGAGATTTCAAGACTGAAGAACCACAAAGACTTGGATCAATTGTTCTCCAGGCCTTCTAACTGATTTCAAAGCCCCTAGTATAGTATAGAATTCACTACCTTATACAATTAAATTATACAATTAAAAACCAAGAGACCTTTTTTCTTCATTCCAGCCATCAGGATTCTAGCTTTCTGCAACCAGATAAAGTCTATACTTATAGTTTTTGGTGAAGAAAAAGGACATGTAGATGTGTATTTATTTTTCTCGGTGTGATCAATAATGATATCAAATAGACATCTGCATTATCATTCTTTAGGGTGTACTTTAAAATACACCATTTCATTGGACACTCATTCTACATGTGTAAGGCCTACATGTGTATATCTTTTCCATATAGATATGCAAATGAGGCTCAAAGAAATTAAGTGAGTTGATTACTCAGTGTCACACTGCCAGGAAATGGTAAATCAGGGTAGGACTCTCAAAAGTCTTTTGACTTCAAATCCAGTGCCTCTTTGTACCAGATCATGCTACAATTCACTTTGATGTCCAATAGGCTGTGCAAACAGATGTATCAGCTCTACTGCATGAGAAAAACAATTTCTATGATTCTACACCGACGGGAAGAATGTGTATCTAATATAGTTAGTCTATGGTACTCAGCACTCTGACTTGGTGGGCTTTGGTGTTAAGGGAGCTCCCCTACACTCCCAGCTCTGTTACTTATGTGACCTTGGAAAAGTTGCTAAACTTCTTTGAGGCTGTGCTTCTTAATTTATAAAAACGGGAATGACAATATATACTTCCAAGTGTAAATGTAAACATGAAAAGAAATAATACAAGTGCCTATCTTCCTTGCTGGCTCACAGCTTCCTGGTGGAGAGAGAAGTTTCTGCTAGCAAAACCCCTCTTGAGTGTTGCAAATACAAAGAGAATTCAAGCTGTAGCTCACAACCGTAAACCTAGTCTTTAGAGATCTATAGTTGGGCAAAACCCAGTTTTGATAGATGGGTCCTAAAGAATAACTGATGGAGGTAAACACTTAAAACACCTATGCCTTATTTGGATGTGGGCTGCAGATTAACTGGGCTAGGTAGGTGGTGCATATGCTGTCTCCCCCTGTGGTTGCTTTTCGTGGCTAAAATGCATAGCTGGATGACTGACACACCACAGCAAGGAAGGGCACAATGAAGGGGGAAATCCACTTTCATATTTTCATTTTTAGATCTTCCTTAATTTAAATAGTAAGCCAAAGGGAAAGGAAACTGAACCACTGACAAGACAACATTAAGTTAGATAGATAACTTTACGCCTTCTTCCATGTTCTATCTCAAAATATGGAGGAAAAAAGCGAAACTCAACCCTGAGGAACAGAAGAGCTCCTTGCTGCTCCCCCTCCCCATTTGATTCATATCTAGACAAAATACTGCACAGGGCAGTGCTGTTTCATGCATATTTCCAGCCCCATCCACTGCGAGCTGAGAAAGACTAGAGTGCCAGACACTGAATCATCATGTGAGTATTTATAATATTAATTACACCCATGGAGATTTTCAGCAAGTCCCTACTGGAAGAGCAGGCATTTAACGATATTACTAGATTTCTATGAGAACCAAAGTGACAGTAGGCTTTGTATTTAGAGGTCAAAAGGAAAACTACCAACCAGTTATTCTGGAAAGCAAAGCAGAGGTATATAGACTCTTCAAGTGTTCCAGCTATGCAGTTTTGCTGGAATTCCAGAACTCTCATATCAGGGAAGTTATTTAATCGTTGACAGGGATCTTTCCCAAAGATGGGGAGGAGGCCATTATCCTTCTAGGGTTTTTAATTTCTTATCTGATCCTAGATGTTTAGAGCCCTGGGGCTTACACTGTAGTAGTATCTGGGTGACAATCTACAAACGAGAACAAGCATAATCCCATAACAGGCTCTCAGCAAACTTGTGTGCTTAACATCAACCTAAAGTTCTTATTAGTGAAAATAAGAATCTTGGAGAGTGAACTAGATGCCAAAAGAGAAACACGGTCTGAAAATGGCTAAAGGAGAGATGAGCGTGTAAGACTTACCAAAGAGTGTAAGGGTCCTTCATAATTAGGAGATGATGAGGCCTGTCCTCCATTTCTAGACCAAACAGCTGTGCCTGCTGATAGTAAAATGGGAATTACAATGAGATCCATATAATCTTAAAAATAATCTCACCAGCATCTTAAACAGTTCTTTCAGCAAAAGCAACACTGATTTTTCATTTGGACAATGAGGTAAATGCATGTAACCTTCCCATATAAGAATTTTTAGATGAAGAGAACATTTTAAATGTAAAATATGGAGACCTTACATAGACTCAGAATTCTCTCAGGCTTCCTCCTCTGAGGGGACATTTAATTGATTCTGAATTTGAGCCAGTGAAGGTTCCTGTGGAAGGAAAACTATCACCACATAGTCAAGGGACTTTTAAGAGCTCAAAGTGGGGTTTTTTTTTTTTTTTTTTTCAGATCTTCACACAAGGACAGTTTCTTAAACCAAAAGTCTCTCACCAATGAGAAACAGCTTTGCTATTCGTTCTTAAAATGATCCTTAAGAAGGGATGAGCCTTCAGAAACTATTTAACGGAATAAGATTAGTTGGCAGGGATCCATTAAACCAGAAATTTAAAAACTCAATATAACAACAGTTATAAGTAAGTAGTTTCTTCCGGAAAAAATAATTTTTTAGGATCCACTAACTTGAAGGTAAAGAGAGATTGCTGCTATAATAAATATTACATGTCTAACCTACAAAATAAAAACAACTTTTAAATTTAAAATAATATACATTTGGGGTAGAAAACCAGGACCCCAAAAGTGTCATGCTTTAGTCTCTTTCTTCTAGAGCACTGCCATTTAGGTTTAGGGTATTTGTGGCATTTTCCCAAATGATTTGTGCATCATAACTTTCTCCTCCCATCATTAACCCAGAAGAGGAGTGGCAGAAGGGTGAGCCCCAGATTCTTGTCCAAGCTCTCAGATTGCTACTGGTGTAACCTCAGCAAGTCATGGACCCTGTCTAGGCCTTAGCACACTCATCTGTAAAATCAGAGCATTTGAATATATTACTTGTTCTCAAACTTTATTAGACCATAGAATTGTTTTTTCCAAATTATTAAACAGATGAAATCAGAGCCACTTTGTTTGAAATGGGGAACTTGGAGTTCTCCCTGCTCAGATGCCCTCATCACCTGCCTCACTGGGCTGGAGGTTGTCTCAATCCTTCTTTGGTTCTGGACATTGACACTTGTGATCATTTTCCAGAGCCTATAATATGCTAGTGAACCACAAGTATATAACAATCCTGAATCTTACTTTGCATTTCTGTCATGGGCAATGTTTCATTGCTGTTCCATTATCCTCTTAATATCATCTCTATTTCTTCCCAGCTTCAACTGTGTCTCTACGGACATATGGACTTCAAGGTCCTGCTACCACGCTCTCTATTCTGTAACCCCCTCATGTGGATGAAGGTTTGGAAAAGGCTGATGTTGATTCCCACCTGCACCACGGCCATCACCTCTGAAAGCTGTGTGGCAGTCTGAAACCTCCCATTCTCTACCAGAGAACCCAGTGTCTAATGGGCCATGTGAGCGCTACGTGCAGAGAATAATATAGGGTTCGAGGAGGCAATTTTTAGGCAAGTGATTCCACTATAAATTACAGTAAGGTCAGGTTTCAATCAGGTACAGATGTGATTTAGTTTTTTTTGAGAAGCCACCTGTCCTCTTTCCAAAGAGCAAAGACACACACCAGACAGGGCCTTCTGGAAACATTTATATTGGAAGGGCAATGAGCCTCTTAAACGGACCTCTGAAAAGTGAAATGCTTTACTAAGATAATTCAACAACTTATAATTTTCCTATTTGAAGCCATAGGTTATGTTAATTTGTTGTATTTTAAAGGTAAACATCCCCTTTCACTCCCCACAATTACTTCACAATTTATTTACCAAATTATGGCTTTCCTCAAACATTTCAATGCCATGGAAAGTCTATGGGAATTTGGAAAGTCTAAAATTTCTGTAGGAATGATCCTTTTGAATAGTCTATATTCGATGACTATATATAGTCTATATTTATATTCATGGCTATATTAACAGGGTTTTCCCCTTTGAGATGCTTCGTTGGAATATATTACTCTGTTGAGTGTCTTCTACAGAGCTAAGAAAAGCTTAAGAAATACATTTTCCATATGATTGTGTATTCTAAAAACATCTAATTTTTAAGAAAGGTTTTGGATGTACACAGCTGTATGTCACACGGCAGTCTCTCCCTCCCACTCCTTTCTATTTGTCTGTTGGGGGATATTATGTTTTGAGCTTTTGGAGGGAGCGGGTTTCCATCTACTAGAACAGGAAGTACAAGGGGGAAACCATTCTCATGAACTGGTACTATGATGGAATGGGCTTTAAAGTACAGTACCTGAGAGAGAAGGAGGAGAGCCAACAGGAGTTGAAGGGTTTGATGAAAAGCTGTTGTTAGTGTGATCTGGAGAATAGATCTTAAAACAGTGGGGAGAAAAAAAAAATCAAACCCTCATTCATTAGGAGTAAATCATCAACAACTTGTTAAACGACAAAGTGTCAGTGCAATTTGTTTAAAAATGATCAGTTACAAAATATATTTAACAATCAACTATATAGCACCAATAGTCTAAGACGAAAAACTTAACACAATTTCTTTAATTTTTCAAAAGAAGAATTATTGAGGTCCTAGAAGGTAGTGGGGAAAAAACTGGACTGGGGGGGTCAGCAGACTTCAGTTCTAGTCCTTTTCCTATCAGGGCTGTGTGGCCATGGGCAAGCCAAGCAGATACTCGAAACCTCCCTTCCTTCCTCCACAAAAAAAGAGGGCAGACAGTATCATCTCTAAGATTTTTGTCCAACTCTTTCTTCACTATGACTAAGCCATTTCATTCCAAGGCATAAGAATGCCCAAATTACATAAAAACTTTTACTTAGGTCGCAAAGCTCACAGAAATCAAACTTCTTTTATGCTCCCAAAGGTAAGAAAAGACAAACTGAAGAGATAAAATGTTCGAACAACAAATCTCCAATTACATTTGCAAATGACCATGTTTAGCTTTTGAAGACAATAAATAAGATGGGCCACGTTGTCACTAGTGAACATGCAAGAAATGTTGAATTCTAGTCTCCTGGCACCGGGGGAGGCAAGGCAGAGAAACTGAGTCCCCAGGTGCCAATAATGTGACAAGGCCTCAAGGACCTCAGTTATGATCATTTTTTTAAAAAATGCCTTTTCTGAAGTGTTTTAGAACTGCCCCTTGCAAAGTCAGTCTTAGCTGGTCAATGGGTACCCATGTGCCTTTAGAGAAAAAGAAGAAATCAAGAGAGAAGATCTATGCACCTAAATGCCCTGAGAACATCCACAAATCCATAATTGAGGACTGCTTAGTACCACAGTAAGGAGACAAGATGGAGGAGACCAGCCACAAATGGGAAGCTTCAGACTCTCTCCTCACATTTTCCCATGATCATTATGCAAGAAGGCTAGCATTTCCAAAAAAAATCAAAGCTATTTGCCATTCATTTTCTAAAATTCCAAATGTCCACTTCTGATTAAAGTTCACCCTTCTACAATGGTGCATATGAAGTCCAAAATCAACATTGCCTCACCGAAGCAAGTGCTTTGCCCAGAGCATCTCCAGTCTGGGAGCTGCCTGCTGCCCCGCTTCCTCTATTTGCTGCAAAAACAAAAGGCAGAATATGAAAAACCAGGCAGTGAGACGTCTAACAATTCTCTATTCCTGGTCCATTTACTCACAATTTAATTGCATTTTTAATGCTAATTACAACACATTAATCTTTAATTAGCATTAATTTGTTTGCTGAGGTAGATGTCAAATATATTCATGTTACATTTTTTACAGATAAAATATAAACGTGACACCTTGGTTTCAAGATAAAGTGTTTTAGTTGCTATTACTTTCCCCCTTGCTGCTGATGAGGAGTGAGTGTGGAATGGTGGTAAGCGAGCATATGAAGTTCACTGCAAGAAGTGGAAAGCACTTTCAGGTCTCTCAAATCCTCAAAGTTTGGCTTTTCTTTATATTTTATACACTAAATTGAATTATCTTCATGAATCACTTATATCTTCTTTCAAATAAAAAAAATTGATACATAGCAAAATGAGGTACTCCTCTCAGAGTTCCACAGTAAACAAACAAAACATCTAATAGGTCTGACTTCCTGGGAGAGAAAATAATTTTTAATATCTTAAATAACATATATTCTCCACATATTTAAGCCTCTGTTGACATTTTAAAATTTTGAACTATTATGCTACTAAAAGTGGATATGTCCTCAAATTCCAGAGATAAAGTCACGTGTACATATTCACGAAGCTATCTCTATCATCTTAAAACCTTTTTATCAACAAATAGATAAACAAAGAGTACTGTTAATAAAAAGATGTAGATTCTAGTATATAATTTAATGCCAGCTCTATTTAACAGTATTAATACAATGCCTACAACATTTGGTATGTTACATTTATTAAGGCCTCAACATTCGCAAATAGCCACGGTATTTAAATAAAACCTATTAAACTCCAGGAGATGTAAAATAAGAAAAGGAAATTTTAAATCAGCCGATTTAATCCAAGTAGAATTTCATTGTACATTTATATAATTTTCAAAAATTCCCAGCCCTATCCTTGAGCCAGGAGAGCACCCTTGCTGGCAAATGTCTGTTTCCAGATCTGTAAAATGGAGTAGTGGGGTCAGATCCCAAGTGGTCAAATTCTCTGCTTCTTTACGTTGCAATTTCCTTCTCCTGACCTCTGCTTAGCATAGTTAAATTATGCTTGTTATTTTTATATATTTACATGTTGGGTATGTCAGTTAGATAATCTTTTGATGTGTGCCTTATTTGGTTAACAAAATCCACAACCATATTCATTCGTTAATTACTAAAACTGAAAGAAAACTGATATGTGATTAAAAAAAAAACAAAACACAGTCACCTTCTGACAAAGCCTATTCTTTTTCATATCACAAATTCATACTATTAAAAATATCTTGGTTATTAGCACTCAGGATTATATTATAAGCAAATTCTTTGAAATGAGCATCTGACATTATACAGATGAGCTAGTGGAAGGAATTCACAGATATCAAGAGTATTAAAAATACTTAATATAAGAGATAGCTGAAATTACATCTGGTGTGAAAGTGAAAATTTCTGCTTTAAGGAGTTCTTTAAAAACTAAAAACAAAATAATAAAGATTTTTGAAAATACAGAGAGCAGGAACTTTTTGCAGTATGTATTACCATGGTATTTGGGGGCAATTATACATATATTTCTTCCTAGAGGCAATATTATCACACATACCTAAAAATTAGATTTATCAGTTAAAATAATTTGTGATATCTGCTTGATTAGAAAACAGATCTTCAAGAAATGAAAGTTCAGAGCCACACTGGAAAAAATTACAATATCTAATAAAGAATTTAAACCCAAATAGGACAAGATATTGTCTCAATTACAGTTAAAGTTTGCTACCACAGTAGCTTTCAAAAGATTAATTCTTCCTCTGAGCAAATTTAAAGTGAAGGTAAGTGTTTAAAAATATATTTTCATGAAACCAAACAGAAGGAATTGAAAACAAGAGACATATTTTAGGAACATTTAAAAAATAAACTATATTCAGCTTAAAAATCACACTTGAGAAGAGACAAGATATGATCACTACGATTACTTTCATTGTAGCCATTCCTAACTAAATGTTCTATTAGTGCCTATTTTAAAGAGGGAGATAGACGTTAGGACCGAGGAAGCAGAAGAAAAATTAGAATCAACTCCTTACCTCATGTTGTCATGAAAATGTTTCAGAAAACTACAAAGGCTACTCATGGAAGCCACTGATAAGAACAGACTATTTTTTAACTTGAAGCCATTCTACCTTGCAGCAGCTGGAGAGCCAAACCCAGGGCTTAAATTTCAAAGCAGTTTATTGGGGCCAGTCTGCCCTTTCGCTTGGAATGCCTTTTGTTCTGTTCCAGGAAACGTCGGAGGAGACACGTTTTCAAGAGTCCCTGAAACATGTTAAGCTACGTGGGTTTTTCTCTTAAAGATTTCTCTTTTTATTCATGTGACTGATATGTCAAAGGGCATAAGTAATCAGAAAGTGAATATATTTTCAATGCTCAAATGGCATAATTTCTACTGAGTAATGGGTCATGTTTAGCAAAACACACTTCTAATTAAACTTGTGCTCATCAAGTCCACCTTTTCGTCTTTAATGTAACAGGATTTGATTACTATTCTAGGCCTGAGTTTTTGTCAACTCATATTACTGGAAGTTACCAAAATGCCTATATAATAGAAATAAAGATAAAACTTTTGCCCCTACTTGGTAAAGACTGGATCGATTTCTCAAGCTATCTTAGCTCTAATCAATTTCTCTTGCTCAAGAGAAGAAATAATCAGTCTCTAAGTAGGGCTGTAACATAAATATGAATAGAAGATGAGCGGTTATTAAGAGGAACTGTAATTTTGTAGGAGGATTCAACACTGCCAGCCACCCAAGCATTGTTCAGATGGCTTGAACACAGGTGCTGTTGCTGGCTAGAAGATGGAGCAGAAAGAAAGGTTTGGTATCTTCGGCTACATGTTGGACCACCCTTGTTGTCAATCCCACTTCGGGGAAATGGCAATTCCCATTAGAACACACCCTAATCAAAACACCAGGATGAGCAGTGCCTGGGGATCGACTACTGAAAATCAGAATTTGGAAAATGTGTTACCCCTTTATTGCATACCCATAACCTCTGGCTGGAAACATCATGACAATATAAAAGGAAGAAGAAATGCAATTCATAGTATATCTGCCTGAAAGAAGATGACTGCTTTAAAATTTTGTTTTTCTGAACTGTGTCCAAATGACCCCCATGTTATTAAACTATCAGAAGCAGCAGAACAATGCCATGAGCTTGTCTATAAAGATGACAAAAGAAGGAGGATTTCCAGCACTCCCACTACGTATAATTTTAGAATAAAAACTCAAATGTAAGCTCCAATGCACTTATTTTCAGCAGGAGGGACTCCTAGGAATTCAGGGGGGAAGTTGGGCCCCATGACCATGTGCAGGAAATGGACGAGGAGACTTAAATCAAACTAGTTTATTGTTCTCTGTTGGTGGTCTTTGTAACTAAGATGCCATGACACTGCTGGATAAAATTCATATTACTTTTACACTCTGCCTATTCATCACTCAGCTGTATTTGAAGGCTCAAGATTCTCGTAAAGGACAAAGTGAATATTATGTGACTATTCTAATAATAAAATTACTGTGAAACTAAGTCCTCAAGAGGAAATGGACATTATGTTTCTACTGGAAAAGCCACACACTAAAATGCATCATGTCATACAAACATGTCATTAGAAGTGAAAGTTGTAAGCCAGATTAATTCATGAAACAGATAGATATCCCAGGGTAATCTTTAGCATATGTTGTACTAAATCAATCTTGGTAGTCTGTTCCTTCAACACTGTTTGGTTTGAGGTTTAAAAACATGGGAAATACCATGAATTAGAAAGCAGGCCAGTTAAAGACTAATAAAACAATGATAGTTATTATAACCATTATGCGAGTTGTATGCCCAGTTCCCTGGGAGGGGAAGGGAGGGCGTGTAGCCCCAGACCACAAGGGGTCACCCCCTGGGAATGTATACAAATGGTATTTCCCAGTGGGGAACTGGAGCACTCCCCTCCTTGAGTAGTCTGAGGGGACTGTGCTGTCACGGTACGGGGTCCTTTTTTCTATCCTCTATAGCTGGTATCTAATCACTTACTACACTTCCTCCTCCGTATGCATGCTCACATGCAGAGGCATTGGTCTGTTACTGCTTCTGAAGAGCTTTAGGAATAAATTCGAAAAGCTCCGATGGTGGTAGTTTCTGAAGCCCCCAGACTTTAGCTTCTCTCCTTCACTGGGTGCTACACCATTTGAACTACTAGGAATTCACCCCGTGTGCCATCCATTACATTCATATAATTCCAGGGTGCTTAATAGACTCTTGCAATTCAGAAATGTCTAACGTAATCTCCAGAGCTTGCTGGCAAGGCTTCAGAGAAAAGTCGTGGACTATACACCACAAGTAAAATATTTTATTCTACAATTCTCTGGAAAATCCATGGATGAACGAGACACTTAAAAAAATCATTAATATAGACTAAGCAAGCTTTGTCATTCCTAAGCATTTCTCAAAAAATGATATTGGGATTTAAAGGGCAAAAGAAAACAAAGCAAGAAACAATGGTCACTCCTCCAAGTCAAACGCAAGCCATTCCCCAAACCTCAGTGAGCATCTGTCAAGCATCTTTGAGATGCAGAGGACAGAATCAGAAGCAAATGAGCATGGTTCTCGAGAGGTTACTTTCTGATGGTTCTAGAACTTACACCTCACTCCACATTTATTTTACTGTTCTATGATCAGTTCAGGACAGTTGAGTTGACTGCCAGGAAGACACATTATAACATGAAACTGAGAGATGCGGCAATGATCTTCTGAATTGAAAAAGCAGCTTCCTAAGACGTCATCGCCATTTATGAGAACATTGCATTGCCTTGCAACTTTTCACCAAGAAAACTCGAAAAATGTGATGTCCATGTGTTAGTGCTCGAACCCCATTCTTACGGCATTAGTATTGCTCACAGTCATTTTCTACAGAATCATGTGTGTAATCTCAAACATGTGTCAGGCTATGTGTTCCCTATTTACCAATTATTTAATTAGCTCTGTTTGTTCTTTGAGATACAGGCAATGTAATATTTCTTTATTTCCTGCATTTCAGAATGAGTGAGTAGATGCCAAATATTTTCAAAAGTCTACAGATGTATCCTATTAGTCCACACTGTTTGTTAGGGAAGTGTCACTAACATCAGAAGAGAAATCTTCTTGTTACATAGACATGCTGCCATCTCTGACTTCTACCACACTCTAATAATCGAACCAAAACCTAAGAGAATAAAAGTGCAAAGAAATCTGAGCTACTCAGATACCGTGTGATACTAAGGCTTATGATCACACTTAAATTTTCCTCTGTATTTTAACTTAAGGAATTAGAGGACATATTATGTTAAGGGAGAACACCCTAGACTATTCTCCCTTGAAGTAATCTTAAAGTAATAACTGTATTTATATGCAAGTTAATAAAAGGTCTGTTCCTCCACAAAGCTGAATTACCATGTCTACTTAATTCCTGAAAAGATTATAAAGCTTTCTCACATTCTGCTAGTAGACTGTAGCAAGAACACCTATGATTATGGAATAATTTATGTAATAAAATTGTTCCTAAAAACCTTTTCCTGGTTCCAAAAATCTCATACTTTTCCCTTTTAAAATTTTATCTCCTTTACTATTGTCTAAACCCTCCCTCCACTTAAACAGGACCCTGTGGTCGGTATAAGTTAAGCCCATCTTTAGTATACAGTTGAGCCCATCAGTATGTGGAAGCCTCTTATTGCTCCATCCTGCCCAGACTAAAGGAAGAAGCAGAGTAGACATTCCTGTTTATCCACAAGCTAATGATGAGCCAACCAGCTTACATAAAGCGAATCCCATTCCCACTGAGACTCGTGGCTTCGCTGCCCACAGCTCATGGAGGACGATCACATCATCTCATAATAGCTTTCTTCCCAAGTCGTAGTGCCTCTCCCACAGGAAGACTGTTGTGCAAATAATCAACAAAACTTTTTTTCAAACAGTGCTGAAGCCTGTTTTCCTCAACTCAAGCTTTTGCTCCACCTTTATACCTTCCTAAAAAAGAAAATTACTCAAACCACAAGTAGACAGGAAATCTGTCGTGTAAGAGGATGAATGACCGGTCATCCTTCTTTATAAGTAGACCTCATGACTACAGAAAGGGGCTTTCCATTTGTCAAACCACACTGAAGTGAAATATGCTTTTCTCACTCTTTCAGTTCTGCACTTCTTTCTTTCTTCTTGTTTTTCAAATCTGCCCAAACTGCATTGATACTAACAAAACTTCCCCATATGACCTCTGTTCATAGCTCTCCAAGGTCAAACTGATGCAACACATTTGTAGAAGCTCTGTTAGGAAAAGTTACAGAAATGGAAACTCTTTCCTAAATTTGCTTCTTAGTGAGACATAATGCCAAGGGCTGCTACATGGCTCATCTCAAGTGTGAAATATATTATTGAATAAGCAGTGAGTGTATTACTTAGGCAGAATTATATTTGCAACATTTCAAAACACATCTCTTCTCTTTCATCAAAAACTCTCCCACATAAGTGATTCACACCACTTTCCAAAGTTCCACAGACTATCTAAGGAAAGGGAAAAAACTGCAAAGAGCTAAGAGAATCAACGGCAGGCTTATTCTGTCACACATTCTTCTCTCTAAAACATACAGTTAGTGTGCTCATCAGTGACCCACTGGAAGTGATCTTAAGGCCAAGCAACGTGTGGGTCTGAGCTAGAATCAGAGTAGTGGTGACCAGCGATGGCTGAGGTTTTAATAAGACCGTGGAGCATCAGGCTGTCCTGCTCATTTGAACAACAAGGTTGTCAAAGGCGGATTCAGAAGGGGGCAGCTGCTTCCTCCTCAACCCGGACTCTTTCCTCCAGGGGCAGCTGGAGATCCTGCCTAGCTCTTCCCACAAGGGCAGAGTGCTGGTGGAGGAACCATATGTCCTAGGGAGAGGACCAAAATGGACATCAAGAAAAATGAGAGGACGATGGCTCAGTTCATTTGGCAAGAGCATTCTGCTTGGGCCTTAACTCCTTAGTAAATCTGCTTGAGAAAAAGCAGTAAATAACTTCTGGCCCACTGATGCCCAGGGATCTCCTCTCCCATACGTTAGCAAACACTTCTTCCCTTCTCAAGGATTCCACACCACTGTCTCCAGAAAGCAAAGCCATTTAGTTATTAAAGATCACCTGTGAATTTCACATGAACTAGTCTTCAGAAGGTAGTGGTGTGTCATGGTTAAGAGCTTAGCACAGTGATGGGAATTTGGGAAGTGGTTAACAACTACTATTAAAAGTTTATAATATGCCCTCATCTCACTAGTCTTCAGTGGTTCGTCTTATAAAGTTGACTTTGTTCGCAGTTGACAGTGTGAGAAGCAAGGTAGGTTTAGTCTATTTAAATCCTTATTCAATCTAATGACTCACATGCACAAAGTAGACAAATTTCATTTTCTTGTGACAAAAAATTTGATTATGCTCAAGCCAATGACTCTTTCTATTTGGTTCATTTGTTTGTTCATTCAGTTATGTGACAAATATTCATTGCCCGATTGCTGTTCAATTATGAGAGGAATAAAAGAGGTCCCTTATTATTAAACCCTGACGTTGATTGTCGGCATCAGAATCGGCACTTCCATGACTCACCCATTATACTGTCTGTCCCGTTGGCAGGAGGCGTACAGGAAGAGGTGCTGTAATGGTTTGTACCACTACGGTGGAAAGTGGACATCGGAGGAAGACTGGAATTGATGTCTGCTGAGGAGTGTGATGGATAGCTCTGCAGCAAGAAGCAGAAGAAGGAGGCCATATTTAACCATCAAATATTTAGCGGGTAAGTTTTCTAATACTTCTTTCAGAACTCTCTGTTTTGCAATGGAGACAGCCCCTAGAATTTCAAAATATCCAAGAATACATCTTGCTTAGATCTGACAGCTTTCATTTCTCGAATAATAAAATATAAAGACACATAGTTGGTTTGGGTTTGCATCAAATATAGAGGAATACAAAGGAAACACAGGACACTGAGAAATGATCACGATCTTTAAACTAAAAAATTACTGCTTAAAAGCACCTTCAAGAATTCAGCAACACAAAAGACCGTCTCTACTATTATTTTTTTGTATGGCCTATTATCAAGAGAGATTCCAAGACAATGAATAAAACAACATCATGGCCCGCAGGTTTACATTATACTTCATCCTGAACTTCTGGACACTAAATAGCAGAGTAAACAATCTGAAATCCTCTTCCTGCCAAAGTGGATTATCTTTTTGAACTCCAACAAGAACAAAATGGTAACTGAAAAATTTAAAAAGCACTAATGATTAAATATCTCTCTAAAGTATCAATATGTAAAGCCTTAAATTAATGACTATGTTGAATTGAATTGGAAAAATGAACTGAGAATGACTTATTTGATTTCTTTCTTTACATGACCTCTCCATTAGCAATCTACCACATGGCTGACTATGAAAGAAGATCATCTTCTACACAGGAACGTTTGGTTTAAGGTTTGGCTTTGAGTTTGATTATTATTACTAGTTGCCCAAAGAAGTTGCTTTTCTCGGGGCGTATCACAGTGCCTGTAAGCTGGCAAATTAGTTGCTACCCATCCATCTGCTTGGGAATGAGCAGATCACTAACAGGGATATGGGTATTTACAAAAACACATTGAGCTATTTTCCTTTTCAAGATAAAAAGTAGCTTAAAAAGTTATTCTCATAGGCATGTGAAAAACATCTCTTCACATGTTTGTGCTACAGATGTGTAAAGGAAAAATATTTAAATATTTAAATTAAAATATCCTTTGTCCATATATGTAATACATTAATAGGCTATGGATCTTTATTATATCATTATTAGAGATTCTGCTAAAATTAGAGATTGAATATGGTGCTGAAAATCAGGGGCACTTAAAGACCGGGGCTTTATTCACAAGGAGTGACCCCCCCGTGTCTTGGTATTTTCCTATTTATTTTGTGAGGCTCATCTTGGGTTCTATCTCTTCCTTGAGGATTCCTTACTTCTTCCAGCTCTTCCATCATCTCTTCTCTCTGAATCCCTACTGCACTTACATTATATGCTGCCTTTCACTGCTTTCTCTTTCAAATGCATTTCCACTTATAAGGTAAACTCTTTAAGGAGAAGAAATAGAGCTCATATCTCTGCATCCCATGACTTGCGGTTGGGTGCTAACACATAATTATCCTATATACTCAAAGAACAACTGGTTATTGGTTAGCATTTAATAAATAGTGGATTGAAATACTACTTATTTGAGAGATAACTAAACAGTTCAAAAAATGCAGAGCTAATGACATGGTGGATGCCTTTGAACATATTACCTCTGCACACCCCAAGTAGTCCAACTGAAAAGTCAACTTCAGGGAAAAAGTTGAGATGATGCCCTTAAACGTTTCCAAGTTCCCTAGAATGCCTTTCAAGCTTGTAAATTTCATGGACTTCTCTGCTTCATCAAAAAATTCCTTAGGCCACCTGTTAAACTCATTCCTGCCTTCCACTTACAGAGTATCCCAAGTAGTCCACAAAATTTTCTCCAAAGAATGATAGAGTGGGCCCATGCCATAGTACAGCGTACCTGAAAGACTGGATATGCCATGGAACACCAAACTTAGAAGAGCTATTTCTGCTCAAGAGCCAAGGACCATAATAATGTGGAGAAAAGGAAACAGAATATGGAAAAAGAGAAACAAAAAGAAAAGAGATGGGTTGACTTCATCTCTACACAGTCCTATTCCACGCTGAGCTTCCGAAGAAGAGAAACTTTATAAATCAGTCCCAAGTATGCAAAAATCAAAACAGAGGAAAATAACTTTGAAAAATATTTAAATAACTATAATAATCACAGGATGAGAGGAAAAAGATGGTCACATCAGGGCGAATTTTTAGACTCTTTTAACTTGGTTTAAAATGGGCAATAAATCAGGATTTGACAAAGAGTTAATACTGAGTTCAGAGAATAAAGACAAGTTCTTCCCCATAATTTTCATGGGGAAACCAATGCAATCCACGTAAATCAGTTATTTTTAGAGACTCATAGAAAATTAGATGCTGAAAGAAATTAATGAGATTTAGAACTAGGTTATTTTACAAGGAAAAGTATCTTGCAAACGACTGTCACTCAAAGACATAATAAATACACCAAAGAGAATATTAGTGATATGTCATTAATGTCTCTTGTAGAGTATTTAGAGATCAACTGTAAGAGGTCCCTGTAGTCTCTCTCACTCCAGCTATTAATACTGTCCGCCCTACTTGCTACAAAGGGAAGGGAAAGGGGAAGTGTGATAAAGTGTTATGGTTTTACATGCCCACTATTTGTTTATTTATTTTTACTTATGATACCCAATTATAGTGTATTTGGAGTCTATTGATAGAGTAAGTGTTAAAAATGTTACCATTAGTGATGTTTTTATCAACCTATGGGTTGATAACTCAAAGATCAGAAAATATAATAACTGGCAGCACATACTAAGAATAAAATCAAGCTTTGGGCTAAAGCAGGGTTTTACAACCTCGGCACTATTGAGCTTCTGTGCCAGATCTTTCTTTGCTGGGGAGGTAGGGGCTCTTCTGTGCATGCCAGTATGTTTACCAGCATCCTTGGCCTTCACACGCTAGACTCCAGTAGCATCTACCCCCCCAAGCTGTAACATCACAATATGTCTCCAGATATTACTAAACATTCCCTGAGGGGTAAAATGGCCCCAGTTGAGAATGACCGGGGGAAGGGTTTACGTTACAAAAAAATAAGACAACAAAATTTCCTCTATATTAAAATTCCAGACTCCTGGGACTATTTCACTCTGTGGTGTTAAGACTGTGCCTAAACCATGCCAGACAGCAAGGACTGTATCCTATTTTTAAAAAGAACTCTGCCGAGTCATTCCAAACTTAAATCTTCTACAACAACCCATTCCAAAGCTTAACCACGAACTCCAATCTCCTCAGTGATTTTGTATGTGTATCTGTGGCATAGTAGTGATTAGCTGTGGGAATGTGTTGTAGAGGCTGAAACTGTGAAGGGACTTAAAGAATCAAAACTGGTGACTTGACAGTTGCTACTGAAATGTGTGGATTTTAAGCTCTATAATTACACATTCTATTATAAGATAGTATAAAGTGATGAAGGCAATAATGTTTCTAAAAAGTTTCACCTTTAAAGACATACTAATTTGGCCAATTTTTACCCAAAATAACCCAAGGAAAGCTCTCTTCTTTTTCTCAAACTATTCCTTTGCTCAGTATGGGACTGGCCAAAAGCTATGGATGACAATTGTAAGGAACTACCCTTCTTTTCAAGTGAAAGGACATGAACTCCCTACTGCGTACGCAAATTATTCTCAATCAGTGTCAGATTTTTAAAAGACACTTCAATAAGAGATTTTCTTATGGTTAAATATGAAATTACAATGATTATTAGATACAATAATACAACAGTTTCTCCTTCAGTGAGAAAATTCATTAGGATACATTACCAGAGACCTAATTCATTTACCCTTTTTTAAAACAAAACCCCTAATCTCTTAAGATCTGCCAATTTCAAGTGAAGAATGAAAACCTTGTGTTTCGTGATGGGTAAATGACATTTTACAAGTATAGCATCTGATACAACCTATTGGGTTACTCCTTCAAAATGATCTTTTTTCCTGGTTGATAATAGTGTTCTGCTTCAGCAAATTTTTTTTCTAAAAGGACTGCAGTTGGTTTCCTTTTTAAAATTATACATTTTGTGCATTTGAGCACATTTTAAAGATACCTCCCCCATGCAGTGAAGTTGACTGGGATAAAATCAACTCAGATCAAAATGTTAGAATATGATAGAGAAAGAAAGAAATCAATATAGGAGGGAAGAGAAGTAAATGTCAAATAGACAACTCTTAAAAGGACTGAAATTCCAACCTATTAGTATAGTGTCCAAATCTTTTGTCACCAAAATTTTCTTTGCTTATAGGACACATGTAGTTTTGATCATGAGTCCTTAGAGAAGTGGAAAATGATGATGGAGAAATAAAAATATTAGCCAAGAAGAAATTCTAGTATAATTATAGTTGATATTTCTCTAAGCTTTCAATCTAAGACTTCCAAGTAGGAGGTGGGAGAAGAGGAAATTTGAAAGTAATTCATCTGCTGTTTACTGAAAATGTGCTGAAATTTGAGAAATGTTGTGATTTACAAATTCAAACTTGGGAGAAGATATAAAAAGGCCAATTCCATCTCTGTCATCTGTTTCTCAATAATGGATAAGCTAGTTGACCACACAGTGTCTCTGTCTCCAGAGCTAACTAAACAGGTATTTTCAAGCATATCAGAAATCTTAACTTCTGGAAATGTTTTAGGTTGCCAGAATAGGATATAAGTCACCTTTTCTTTTTTCTTTTTTTTGAGGAAGATTAGCCCTGACCTAACTACTGCCAGTCCTCCTCTTTTTGCTGAGGAAGCCTGGCCCTGAGCTAACATCGTGCCCATCTTCCTCTACTTTATACGTGGGATGCCTATCACAGCATGGCGTGCCAAGCGGTGCCATGTCCGCACCCAGGATCCGAACCGAGAAGCGGAACGTGCAAACTTAACCGCTGCGCAACCGGGCCGGCCCTAAGTCACCTTTTCTATATCTCTGGTGGTTGAGCAAAAGAAAGGGAAGACCATAGGAATCCAGAAAGTACGATTTCCTACATCCAAACAGAAAAAGAAACATAAATCTGGGTATTAGGAGAAGAAAAATGGAAAAATTACAAGATGAAGAGGAGTGATGTAAGTATCACTGAGGACCACTGGATTTGTCACACCCTTTTGCATTTGCAGGGTTAGAGGTTCATACATTTTTTAAGCTATTTTATTGCACAAGGGACTCAGTTCCACATTATCTGCATCCCAAACCTAACTCATGATCTAGAAGTACTCTCTCCTCCATTTAACGAGGGACTTAAGTTCATAAGTGGATTCTGAGGCTAGAAAAACATCAGATGAGTTGCTTCCTCTGGGAGAAAGAGACATACTAGGATGGAGGAATGTAGGTGATGAGTAGAGTAGAAACTTCAATAATGAAAGAAAGATAACATTCTACAGCCCAGCAATCTTCAATTAGAGAGCAGCAAAAGAGAGTATCAGGGGGATATTGGGCACTGTGGAATTAAAGCTAAAACACTGAAAAGTGGGAAGCTGATAGAGAAATCCCATGGTTGCTGTCACTGATGGGACTGGAGAAAACATGAGCTCTTTCCTTCGGGTGTGGCACACCAACTCAAAGCTGTGCCAGCAACAAGAGCCACTCAAGGGGAAATGGAAACGCCTGTGGGTGACACACATCACCCACCCTCAAAGTCTACTCACTGTCACTCCACTCTGCCCCCTGCAGTATATCCTTCAAAACTACACACAGCAAAAATACAACAAGGAACCGCTGTAGTTGAGATTCTGCAACTCAAATAGTGTGTATTTATGCACCAAAGGGAGCTGACATGGTGATAAAGTACAGAGCAAAACACGATAAACAGAAGAGCAAAGACAAAAAGAATCTGGAAGGGCTTACAAAGGTGGTCTGATTTAGTTATGTCTTTGATCACGGAAACAATACAACTGTAAGAATAATGTTGTGTACCATTTTTATATTCATTTACAGAGTCCTTGTGTACACGCATAGAAAGACAGAGGATGAGATTTAATAAAGTGGCTGTGTTCTCCCCATTACCAAGTAAATCTGCCTTACCAAACGCTCGTGTGGATGCAGGCTGCAGTAGCTGCTAGACTGTGGAATATGAGAAGAATTGCCCAACATTCCTCCGTAGCCAGGCTGATTCATCCCACTGGAGGAGCTCCAAGGGTCACTGCTGTGATGGCCATCTGTAAAGGACAAAAAAAACCATGACTTTTCTGAGGCATTCAGCCTCGCCTTATAGAATAGGGTTTTTTCACATACTCGAAAATGACTGCCTGGTGTGTATTCATCTTTGTGTTGGTTAGCTGATTACATCAGAAGATAGTCATCATTATTTTTTTCCCAAGTGGCTCTGTATTGCCAAACAAATATAAATATTGAACATAGTTAAAGTGTTCTTAGTAAAAATTCCAACTGTAAAAAAGGACAACAGAACACATTTCTACATAGAATTATGTCAAATCAGCAAGGTAGCTAATACTAAAGGAAAAACATTTCTTACAAATCCCCTGACCTCTTTTTCTATGAGAACTAACTAAAAGATTTAATTGTTCCTAAATTTTTGGGTGAAAATAAAATACTTGAGACATTACAGAGTTGATAAGTTTACAAATTTTAAAAGCATAGAAAGAAATAAGTAATAATAAAAAACATCTCAGATTGAAAAGACGATTTCATTCATGTAAGATAAATAGTAGACAGAATTAAAGTTGGAATTACACTATGGGATATAGGAAGAGGACTCTCAAATATATAGTTCTCAGTTTTTGTTTTCTTTTTAAATTTTTATTTTTGGGATAAAGTTCTATATCTATTTTATGCCTTCGGTAGCAATTCAAAGAGTACATGCACATATCATAGGTGGATATTATGTTATAGTCAATTTTGAGAACCTCTGGATTTATATTATTTATAAACTATTTAGAAAGTTAAAAAGTTTAAAAAGAATCAAAGTTAAAAAGAGGTTTAAAACTATATCGAAATTATCTGAAGTATCTTTTAATATCAAGTTCATCTTTGAAAACATTCCTACAGATTTTTTTTTCATTCTCTGAGCCTATTGGCCTAGGGGTTACTATCAGAGATTGCTATTGTTTGGTTTGGGTTCCTCAAAATAAGAGGTAGGCGAGGGGGCAGAATCTATGTTACTGCTGAATTTATTCAATTTTTCCCTCCTTCAATAGTTTAACAAAAATTATTGAGTGTCAGATATATACCAGGTCATCAACTAGGTGTACACTGTATGGCAGGTATTATTTCCATGAAAAGAAGATTATATTCACCATACATTTTATTTATAAAGGCCTTTTGAAAATTTAGGCAATAGGCAAGTTAAATCTAGCACTATATTTCACAAACTTTTTTTTCACTGTGGTTTTTCTTTGTTTTGTTTTGTTTTTTTGGTGAGGAAGATTGGCCCTAAACTAACATCTGTTGCCATTCTTCCTCTTTTTGCTTGAAGAAGATTGCCCTTGAGCTAACATCTGTGATCATCTTCCTCTATTTTATATGTGGGACGCCTGCCACAGGCTGGCTTGATAAGCGGTGCGTAGGTCCATTGCCTGGGATCCGAGCCAGTGAACCCCTGGCTGCAGAAGCAGAGTGCACAAACTTAACCACTGTACGACCGGGCAGGCCCCTTTCACTGAGTTTTTAAATCCAGAGGTGAGAGTTCAGAAAAACTGGAATAGTTTCAGGACAGAGAGGAATAATCTGTAGATTTCTTTAGAACTATGTCAGCAAACTCATGTCTGTGATTTTGACAACTTAAGAATTTTAACTAGAAGATGGAAATTAAAGTTAAAAAATAAGAAGTCACGCAGTAGTGAGTTTAAAATATGCTCCTGACAGTCTCTGAATACCTTTCACCTAAACTGCATGCTTCTTCCAGACCTAAATTCTCAGGGCACCACACACCCCTCAAGGAAGAAAGTCGGTGTGAAATGGGATCATGGTGTGCTGTTTCTGTGATCACAAAGGGAAAACACGGGACTCTCAAAAAGTGATTACTCCATATACTTTAGATTTAGCCCTGAGACTGTGGAAGTTTAAACGTCATCTTAAATTCAAAAACGAAGTTCAAGACCACTAAGATTTCAGATAGATGGCATACATGACAAATAAATTGAGATGATATATCATTGAATAACAGTCTCCTGAAACACTCCGACAACGTGATGCACTATATGGAAATACATTTAGGATTTGTTAACACAGAACACTCTACTCAATGCAGACTTATAAAAATACATATTTTACATAAATTATGCTTTTCACAGTAAATTAATATTTATCACATCCCATGATCTTGGCATAATGTTGTTTTGAAAGAATAGAATTAGATGTGTGCAAATTATTTGTGCTCATCATAAATGTCAACTCAAAATTTTTTTCTTTGCTTTTTGGGTATTCATGTGCAGAAAAACAAATCTGTTCCCCACGTTTTGCATGGTCTGCTATGGGGAAGAGACTATTGTTTTAATCCACCTGATCTCCCCGGCCGTGGGCACAATTTAAACAGGCCACCTTCCTGTAGGCAGATTGAAGAAATCTATCCTTCTGTCAATTTTCTCAATCAGCTCTGAGTGACGAACCCTTGAGTTGACAATCTCTATAAGCACCAGTAACACAGTTTCTCTGACTGGTCACAAAGGAGGGAAAGCTGATGCCAGAGACTGGCTGCTGTTTATAGGTGAAGGGGAGAAGCCTTTCATCATGGTACAGAATGCACTCAAGTGACATACTCTGCTGCGTCCCTTTGAGAGTTACACCTAGGACAGGTCACAGAGATAAAGGATCCCTGTGAACACGAGCTCCATGACGTGTGGAACAAATTCTCTCTGTTCCTAAGGGACCCATTCGATTCAATTTTATAGATTTTCCATGGAATTTCACATGTGAACTAACAACCTAAAAGAGCTAACACTCTGAAGGGAAAGAAAATAAATCCCTTTTAATCAGAATGATTTTGAGTGTGTCCACTGTAATCTAAGCAAGACACCAGGCTGCTCCCCTGGCATTCACTGGCGCAAGGACACTCCCCCTCCCTGGCATGGCCCTTCCTAGAGGAGCATGAAGAAGGAAATCCCATGGCATTTTGCCAAGGCACACTCAAGCAAGGTTTTACACCAAGGCAAAAAGAGTTAAGTTCCACATACAGGGGTTCTTGGTAAATTCTATATCTAAATTTCAGAGTATTAACTTGGTACAAGATCATCACATTTTGACTATAAGTGGCAGTAAGTATCAGTGATGGAGCTGCATCCTCCGGACAGTCTATTCTTACAAGCAGCTGCTGTCATTTCAACTATCCCAGTCTTTATCAAGCAGCAGAAAGGAGCTGTGCTACTAGTGGCAGGACTACAAGCTCATGGGTCACACATCCAAGTGCATTTAATTAAACAGACTGGACAACTAAAAGAACAAATACACTTTATCCACCAAGAAGCTGTAATTTTCTACATTTGGTCAGGAAAAAAGCTGGGTCTTTTACCCTAAATCAGTTAGCATGTTGGGATACAGCTTCTGCTGTGTAATGAAATGATATTCCAGTCTTCAGATGGGTCACTTCATCTTAAACGGGCCTCTTGTTCATACCTATAAATTAATTAGTTGCTGAAAATTTTATGTAGGGTTACACATAAGGACAATTTATTCCCAGTTGGCTAAATCCAAGGACGCTCAAAATACACATTGAACCAAAGTACACTTCTAAACATACATACAAGTTCTTCTTCGGGATGGTGAAGATGATACTGAAAATGATCAGTCTTGGAAGACCATCCCCGAAGAAGCATCAGCTCTCAGTGAAGCAGACCAGTCCAACCTGAACTCACTATTGCTCAAGGGCCTTCAATTTTAAAAAAAGTAAAGTTTTAATTAATTAATTTACTTTTAATTAATTTGGTTCCTAAGAAGAGCACGACCTCCGATATTTTACACCGGCCTAGAGTTCCATTTCTCGGGTATCAGTTCAGCAGCCTTTTGCCCCGTATATGATATGGAAAGACCCAGGAAGACTCTGTCCAGGGGATTTCCCCTAGAAGAGGCAGCATCTTACCTTGCATGAAGAAGGAGCTAGGGAAAGTGCTGGCTGCTGGTTTCGAGGAAGGGTAGCCTGGCGAGTCCCTATTGTAGTCGGCAGTGCTTGCTGAAGGAGCATAAACCTGAGGGAGAAGAGCCAATTTAGTTTGCCTGCTGCATTGACCAAGCATCTCAAGGTCGATTACTTTACAAGAAGCAGGTACCAAATGCTAAATTTCAACCATGGCCATTCTAAATCTGAATAAAACCTAGAAACACTGTCCCTTTCAGAATACAGAAAAACAAGTCCCAAGAAACTCCTGAGTATAGTTGTGTGAATAATATTTTCGAATCACAGGTAAGAATATTGCAAACTATGTCCAGTTGTAAATATAGTATATAATACCCACAGGGTTGCCCTGGGAGTCCAAGCATCTTTTTTCTTTTTCCAAACATAGATGGCCCAGGAGCACGTGAAAGGTAAAAACAGAAAGACATGCATCAAACTTCTCCCTTCTATTCTACCTTTCAATTAAAATTTTCACTTTTGAGAGAGAGAGAGAGACAAAGAGAAAAATGAATGCACTATCCAGACCACAGAAAGTGACAAATATATCTTGGAATATTAAATTCCCATAGTGTCAGTTTTTTGCAGAGATGCATGGAAAAGTCCATTAAAAGTCTGGATCTACATAGACCACCAACAATCAGTGTGTGTATATGAAGGGGGGGGGAACCTTCATTTATAGTTCTTATTATATTTGTGTGTGTACTAAACTTAAAAAGTGTGCCAAAATCCTAATTTACTTACATTTGTTTACTAATACTCATGAGACTTGGGGAACTGGTTCTTTATAAAAATAGCCTGTTTATTTTCTTGTTTATGTTTCCTTTAAAGAAGACAGCATACTAGAAAAACATAAATTCATAAGGTATAGTTTAACTTTAATTGGTTTCCCCCTTTGGCTTTTCTGCTGAATATAATTTTTTTAAATCCCCATTTTCTTTTGCTCCAAAAGTTTCTCTCTCCAGATGGTCGGAGAGACTGAAACACTGTCATCCTCTTGATGAAAATGGATACCTTCCTGCCTCCATTTTGAAGCAGGCAGCAGCTCACAAAATTGGCAGTGAGCCTACAGTGATATTCACAGGTCACAGGAAAAGAAAGAGAAATTCACCAATAAAAAGGCGACTGCAGGGTTACCAAAAAATAACTCACCCTCCCTTTTTTTTTTTTACAGTGCACAGTGAATAAACACCCTAAGAAAAATTACATAATTGCTCTCAGAACACCATGAATCACAAACTAAACATTAATACAAGGTTTAGGATTTCACAAAGGATAGGTCCACAGAGACAGATGTGGGAAAATATGCATACACATACATACATCAAATAAATGCTACATATGCCCCACGATGCCCTTGAAAATTGGGAAGTCCTGGAGATTGAACAAAACAAAAACAAACCACAAAATCAACACACACGTTAGAAAACAAGGATTTTTCCTAAGTCATGGAGGGACATCAGCCCTATATTTCATGGGCTATCTTATTTTTTAATTTTATTTTTAAATTGTCTTCACATTTTAAATGTAGGAACAGCTATTGACTTCCATTTCCACAGGACTTACAATAAGGGAAAATTTTTTTCAAGTATCTTTAAGAGACAAAGAATAAAACTTAGGCTAGGAATTCCAAAACAAATCAATACCCTAAGTTCTGTCAGGCAAAACCCAGTACTTTTTTGAGAAGTACACAACTAACAGTTTGGGGAATAGTACTAAATGTATTTAGAGAAGGTATCGAGACTAGGCTAAAAAGATGAAACAAAACATTACCTTCCAGGAAAAGGGGAAATTGAAAAATTAGATCATCTCATTCTAATGACAGAATGAGCACGTCTATAATATATCTAGAGGCTATCGGCCTGACAGCTATTTGGCCTGTCAGTATTAACACAAGCTAAGTATACTATGTATTACTCTCAAATTCCAGAAATCAATATATTTACCATAAAACTGAAAATAAACTCTGACCCAAATTATTAAATCACCTTATATTTTAAAACAATTAAAACCAATTCTTTTAGGATAATCCATAGTGTTATTTTAATTACATAGTCTACTAAATTATCCTCAAACATGAATATTATTATGTCAACAGCATTTAATGGGACCTAACGAGGTTCAACTTTTTTCCCAATTTGGGTAGAATTATTTGATATTTCTTTAGGGAGATAAGGACAAATCATTGGTAAGTTTGCTCATGTATAAGCAAGCTACTTTAACTATGAATTATGATCAAGCTCAATCTGAGGGTAAGATCATTAACCTTAAATTAATAAATACTGCCTGCATGAAAAAGAATATCTACGGGGTTATAAAGTTTTTAGGACATATTTTACTACACAGTTTCTATTTTCTGGTATTGTAGCCAAACGAAAACTCTTTAGATAAGATGAAAGTCTTTGTTAACAAGAAATGGACCATCGTTTACAGCTTTTTTTAAAAAGGCAATTTCTGTATATTTTATAAATTTTCTTTATATCACAATTTATGGATCAGGTACTGTATTATTCCCTTTCCATTTATATACTTCATCTTTCTTACTTCAAAAGTTATTTTTAAGGTAAGCACTATATATTTCTTTATATAAACAAACATTGCATAGAACTATTGAACTTTTTAAAGTAGAAGGAATCAAAGAATTTATTTAGTTCAACCCCCCACACTTTAATTATAAGAAAATTCAATAATAGAATGGTCAAAGCAACTGCTTAAGAAATGCAACTTAGTCAAGATATACAACTATCAATTGCTCTTTATATGCCACTATTTAATGGTTACTTTCTTTAAAAATGGTGGTAAAGGTATAAGACAACATTTATGAAAACAGAGTGGTCGTGATGTTCATGCTTCGGTTTATCCTTAATGTTTTAATCTTTAATAACCTGGATGGAACTGCTTCATGATTTTTACTTCAGTCAACAATTCTGCCAATTTCCCAACCAAAAGACTTCAAAGTATGGGTTTCAGTAAAGTATTTAACAGAGAAACTAAATAATAAAAGCTCACATCCATTTAATTTTAATTACTACTATTCCAGGTAAATAGATGACTTACACATTTGTTAAATAAGATACTGTTTTATTTAACAGAACAATAACAAATATCCCAGATATCTTCAAATAGCTGGAATCATTTTTAACAACTAACACCAGAAAGTTGGTCCGAGAAAAACATGAAATAAAAATCCCAAACTGTAGCTCAATGTATTGAAGAGACCCCACCAATGAAACATGAGAAAAGTCCAAAGGGAAACAAAAATCTCCACTTAGTTTTTCTCTGATAAGGTGGCTTAGATCAAGGTGACTTTTGGCATTCTGACTCCTCCCACAGGAGTAACTAAGGAAGGATGAAATTTTTGTTGCAAAACTGGAAATGGGGAAACTTGACCAAAGCTCACAGGCTCCAGCTCTTTTAGTGAATATTTGTTGAATAAAAGTTTCATGGAGAACCAGTAGGAAAGCATCGTTAACATTCAAAATTAGCACCATTCTCTTTCTCTTACCATCCTGAATTTAAAACATACAAAATCAGGCATATAGAAATTCTGAGTTTAACAAAGCTCTCCAGGTAACACTAAACCCTGAACTGATACAAATAAAAAAATGATTTCATTTGACATATTTAATTTTTGCTGTAACTTGAGAAGTATTACTCCTGTACATTTGTGGTTCCATCCAATGTCCTGACTATCCTTTGTGAGTCATCAAAGGAGCAACAAAATGACACGTTCTTTCAAATAGAACATACTAGAAAAGAAGAAAACCAAGCAAACACACGCACCAACAAACAAAAGGAAGGCAGTAGCATGCATAACCTACCTTCTCCCTTTGATGTTCTCATTTTTATCTGTCTTGGCATATCAGTTTCCATTTATGGAGATTTAAAAAATAACAATGATTACATTTGTTTAGGGCCTCTTGTGGAACAGTTTTTGTGCTAGGAGCTCCATATACATTATTTCTAACCTTCATAATGGTCATACAAAATGGATATTATTAACAGTTCCTATTTCACAGGGCTAATGTATCGTAGAGAGGTCAAACATATTGGCCAAAACTGGTCTGAGTCTAACTGACAGTTCTACTATTTATTAGCTAGGTAATCTTTATTACTGTAACCTCTCTGGTCTTCAGATTCCTACCTGTAAAATGGGAATGTCAGTACCTGTTATGCAAAGTTCTTCTGTGAATTAAATGGTATAATGTGTAAGGCAACTAGAATGATCCCTGACACATACTGGGTAAACAAAAACCACCAGACAATAGTGTTACTGTTGTGCTATTGCTTTTATTATCTGGACAAATGTGACTCAGGAAAGCCGAACGACCTTTCCACATTAAAAGTTTATCAAGTAGGAAAAGAAGGATTTGAGCCAGTCATCACAGTCTATGTTCTTTCCATTAAAAAACCATTCCTAGCTCTTAACAGGCAAAAAAGAAAGGAAAAGGTAGTTTAACTAGCAACATGAGGCTAAACTATGGCCATAGGTTATAGAAATATTCTTGTGAGGTCTCATAATTACCTTTTAAGAAAATAAAATGTAATAAGGCATGTTTAGAGTGAAACCAACATATGCTAATATTACTTGCTTCCTGAAGTGAGAAGCTGAACTCTGAGGGGTTAAAGAGAAGTGGGTCCAGATCATGTATCAAGAGGTGTGTAACTGAGCGGGGTTGGGTGACAGCCACGGTAGACCTTTAACATTCCTTAAAATTCTTACCCCTTAGTGATGCTGCAAGTACCATCTGAACATAAAATTTCCAAAGAGAATCAGTTCAGAATAACTGAGACATTGTAACTGAGACGTTCAGACCCTTAAAGAGAGTTGCTGTATGCTCCAAGATGAGTAGAAAGGAGCAAAGCGGAATTATGCCTCAGGCGCCCAAGTTCTGGCCAGGCTCACTTAGTTGCTCAGACCTTGGGGGATTTCACAAATATTCTAAACTGTGACAGTGGTGCCATTGATGTTCACAGACCTAGGCAAATACTTTGATGCTGAGAAGCATCTAATGGGGAAAAATACTGGTAGGCAATCACCTCACACTTAGGCAACTGGGCTGGACCCTCAACTCT